GGGGGGGGGTGAGAGGTCGGGCACTTTGCTGCTTCCATTGGAGTTGTTTACAAATGCTGGGGCAGGCAGGGGGCAGTGGGGGGGTCACTGAGCTCCTTTTCACAGCCGTGCCAACAAAGTCATTAATATAAGCAGTGATACTATTACCCCCCCCCCCCCTTCCTCTGCCTCACTAGACACCTTCACAAGCCCATGCATGGAGGGAGGTACACATTACAGCATCAGCATCAGCAGAAAAGGCTCAGAGGGACGTTTTGTGTGGAATACATGTGCATATTTATTCCATGTTGCACATGGAGCCAGGTTCCAGTGTTCTGACCCCTGGCAAGGGTTCACGTCCAGCCATCTGGAGGGGAAGCAGGCTTACACAACAGGGGATCGGCCGCGCTCCTCCTCTTTAAATATCATTCTGCTCCGCTATTCGCTTTCATGTCGGAGGATTAGGTCGAACATGCCGTCTGCTGTGTCATGAATCAGCCAGCAGAACAGAGCGGGGGGGGGGGGGGGGGGGGGGGGGGGCGTTAGGCTTAATAGGAGGGGAGATGGGCCCGTGTTGGGCTGCCGCCGCCCTGCGCACGCCACGCCGTGCACGCCGCGGCCGGGCTGTGCCCTTACAGTCAGATTGACTTTTTGAGAAATTCAATTACACCCTGAAATGAACAGCCAGTGCTGGTGGACAGAGGGGGTTTGGGAGCGAGAGCCTTCTATTGCTGTGGAAACCATGAATACTGATCGGAGGCTGCTACAGTAGGCCGGCTGTCCCCGTGGCTCAGATTCGTATTTTTACCCCTTCCTCCCCCCCCTCCTCTTCCGTTTGGACTGTACCCTTCTCCCCCGCGGCCGCTGTCCACTCCTCCAAACAGACCCCTGCCTTCTCCTCTCGTCCTGTGTGGGTGAGGCATTGCTGCAGATTATGTCAGATTATGTGAACGTCATGATTCACCACGATAAGATATTGAAGGCAACCTCAAAACAAGCCCTTTTCTACCCGGGTGCACGCACAGCCCGAGCACGAACAGATCCTCTATTGAGAAGCGTTCCATTCTGCCTGCCAGAAATGATGTCAACGTCGTCATGGCAACTATTCTTACACATCACCCCGTCCCTCCTCACACAGTTTGAGGAGCACTCAAGTGCTATTTTCTGACAAATGTCAGATCTCGTCTCTTAAATGGCGACGAGGCTTTTGGGTTTTTTTTTAACCGTCTCCATCTGCGGCTGAAGGAGCTTCGGATGTGCCACGCAGACCAATGCGACCGCTTTGATCTGCCTTCCTAAACAGCCGACCAAAGCCGGAGGGAATAATAGGGCAGAGATGATGGCCGTTCACACAGAGAGAGGCTAACGACGGGCGCCATCATTTGTGTTAAGCTAACGCCAAAATAGCAACTCAGAAGGCCCCTTTTCCAAACGATGAACATATCAGGACAAGAAGCTTGTCTTTTCTGATAGGACGTGATTGTGGGCAGTGCTGTCCTACAGGCCTTATCCGCCCAGCCCCCCCCCCCCCCGGCCCTCAGAGCTGACACAGGGCTGCCGGGGTAACCAGAGAAGCTGGAGCAATGTTTCGCTGATAGATGTCCTTTGATAGAAAACGCAGAAAGGTGATAGCTGGAGGGGGAAAAAAAAAGAGCCCGAAAACCCCCCAAAAAAGAGCGTGGGTGCGGAGGACCGAGGCTCCACTCCATTTAACCCCAGCCAGACGGCACCTGGCTGGTTATTTAGACTCTTGATGGGACTGATTTCGACCACACATTGGGCAATGCAATGCTTTGGTTCGTGTAAATTAGCTGTTTCTTTTGTGACATTGCATCAGATCCGGTACATTTCTCAAAAAAAAAGGGGAAAAAAAGAGAATATATTACCCAAGTTGGTGATATTTACCTAATACAGCTGATATTTTTGCTTTTATCTAACAGGATTCTGACTTTTTTGTTGAGTAATTAATCTAGCTTATTGTAGATTTGAAGGAGGAGTTTAAAAACACTTCCAGTCATACTTTGGTCTGCATCCATGGGCTTTGCATAAAGTGAATGCAACAATGCCTGCTGGCACTAACAGACTCCCTCCCTTTTCAAAAGCATCAACTCTCATGAAATAGTGAGTCATAAAACGCTCCCCCGTTATAGTGCCGGTGGCTAATTTAATTTATTCAGATCAGTGAGTTGGCAGTCATCCTAAAAATGTTCTCAGAAAGCAGCACATATCAGACGTTAAAGGTTTGGTTTGGATTGGCTGGACTGATTGATAAGCCATCAGGAGGAGAAAGGCCAGGCTCATTTGATTCCCACCGTTAGTTTCTCCCTGTTGTTTGATGGTGTTTGCAGCAGTTTCTCCACACACAGACTTTCTGTGGTTAGGGTTAGAGTAAAGGCACTGTCTCCAGTGAATTGGTCTAACTTCCTTGCTTACTAGCTTCCTTTATAGATTTCTAACACATTTTGTCATGTTTTTTTTCCAGTTCCACTAGCAACAAGTGGTATAAAAATGGATGGATGGATGGATGGATGGATGGATGGATGGATGAACTCTATATTAGCATTAACAATTATCATTATTGGACATATGGAAGTTTAGTAACAAAAATGAATAAATAAAGAAGGGGGGCTTCTCACTAACAAAGCCTCCCTTGGCAAAGCAATTTTGCTCAGCATAGCACGGTACGCAGATTTCAGTTCTACTACCATAATGCTGAACAGGACAAGGTAAAACAAAAAAAAAAGCATTAACAATGCAGCCATTGGAACTTTTCAGGAAGGAAAAGCAGTCCGTGTTCCTTTCAGAGCAATCATCCACTGATCAGAGAGAATATTGATCTTTTGAAGATTAATCAGACTCCATTTGTCCTTTAATACCCGTTTGGAACCTGAGAATAGTTTATAAATGTGTAGATCTTACCATTTCCATGAATAGATCATCAGTATGTGTGCAAAAAAAGCGCAGAACCTCCAGATCTGTGACATGTAACCCACCGCCCGTTGTTTAGAGATAAGCCTGTAAATTAGCTGTAATTTGACCAGAGTGGGTCAGCACCTCTGACACATTATCCTCACCATCTTAGACCAGCATGGCTTGTCCTGTTGTTACTCCGATGAGCTCCGACCCAGTTGTTGCGCTTTACAAAGATCACGGTTCAAAGTTGCCGCTCATTCTGAACCAGGTCGGGTCTTTCCTGATCATTTTCCACCTGCCTCTGCCTGTGTGGAGGTTCCTGACCCCCACTGAAACACCTCAGCTGCCACATGGCTGCTGTTATGGTGAGTCACGGTTCCCACAGGAGGAATTGTTTGTGTTCCTCAAATCTATTGCTTCGATTCCCCCCCAAAGTCCACCCACGCATGTCCTTACTTTGCCGAATTGATTTACCAATAATGATTATAATTCAGTCTTAGGAACCCCTAAGTAGTTTTTTCATGCTGGTACATAAAACCTAAATAAAGAAACAGTTAGATGAATGAACAAATAGAAAAAAAGGATAAAGTTTTTCATTTGCATTTGTGTCATTGCTGAGCAGGGACCTATTATATTGGACATGGTGTTGTTTAAACTCAGTTGTATTTTAGTGTTTCTGGTCTCCACAGACCAAAAGAAAGAAAAAACACAAACCTGAACAAAAGAGAGAAGCAGCAGCTTTTCACAAATCTTTGTACGGGTTGTTTGGTCCTGTTCTTTCTTTCCTAGGGTTGGAATAGTACAGGGACAGAAACATGCTAAACAAAGCTTCTGTAGCTGGTTTTCCTCGGCCATGCCTGAGTCCCTTTGGCTTACAGCGACTTTAGCTTTGTTTTGGTGGGACTTGAGTAGTCGATCAGCAGAGCCTGGAGGAAAACGCTCCACACGCTCCGCTCCACCCATTTTTCCTGAAAAGACAGCGTGGACAGACTGCCGATGGTCAATCCAGATGAGTGTGAAACCAATAGAAGCTGCCTCTGGCCAAAGTTAACAGAAGAATCCATTTTGTTTCAGTGTGGTGGTTGATGTATGTTGACTACATGGTGGATCAAAGATCACAGGCATCCATCTCAAACCGTCCGTTTTCTCTTTAAATCTAATAACTCCTCCAGATTCCTTCATCTTTAAATGATTTTAACCACTGTAAAGTTAGAACGATGCATTTCTCTTGATTATTTTAAACAAACCAATTCTTTTATCTAGTTGCCGTCGTGTTATTTACAGTTCAAAGTGGGATTTTTGTGGCCAAAAGCTTTCAGGATTGCCATGTTGTTGAGATAATACAACGGAAAATATTCTACTTCTACTGATTTTTTATTAAGGACAAAAATAAGACTTGAAAATCAGCAATTCTTTTTTGTTTTTCATAATCCATTTGTCTTGTCAAACCGGCCTGACATGTCCCAGAGCGAAACACTCAGCCCCATAGGAGGATGTAAAATGGCTAAGCAGTAGATTTAGCTTTATTCCAACCTGCATTGCGCCTTTTGACTTGGAACCTTAAACAGAGACGTTCTAAACATGGTGAGCCGGTGGAGCTGCCTCCTCTGAGCTCTGAGCAGAGTTCTGTGGGCCGTTTGCTTAGCGCCGTGTTGACCGTCTGCACTGACCCACTGCGTGGGCGGAGGGACATCTGGGGGCTCGGGCCTGGAGGGGAACCGGGCAGGTCGGGAGGAATGTCGCAGAGAGCCGCTGAATGCTCTCAGGTCCGTGTGAAAAGCCATTAATCAAAGATTCTCCCTCATCCAAACCAGGGGTCAAACATGGGCTTCCTCACTCCCCTCTGGCCCCCATTCCTCCATCATAACATAAGCCCTAACTATTGATGTGTTCTCTCTTTATCTGAGCTTTGTTTGTCCGTATCAGCGATGCTGTTTTCTGATGAGGACATGTTCCGTATTTCCTCGGTTCCCCCCCGCTCACATGAGCGTGGGTGTGTCTGTGTGTGTGTGTTTGTGTGTTTGTGTGGCGCACTCACATGACTGGAGCCAGGACATAGTGCTTCTATGTGTGGAGGTCAGCATGTCAATCGATCTGAAAGGCTCTCCTTTAAACTTTCTGCACAAGTGTGCATGTTTTCACATATGTTCTGCTTTAGACTGATGAATGGCCTTAGATTTTTCTCTTTTTTTTTTTAAACTCGCTGGGGCTGTGTAGACCTGAGTAAACACCGTCCCATAAAGTCCACCACACACTCCTGAGAATTCCTGGAACTGCTCCAGAGCAGAGTGGCACACGTTTCATAGAAGAGCTGCCAACCATATTTTACTGTCTTATCTGATTTATTTAACACTTAGAGCCGTTTGAGTTTGGACCGGCCATAACACATCCATCCCAGCCACCTGTTCCAGGAAAGCAGGTGAAAGGAAATCTCGGGTTTACTTTACTGCTCATTTTCCCATTGAAACAGAAATGACGTGGTGACGACTTCCCGTTCATTGATCCACAAAATTCCCTTTCCTCTGTGTGTATCTGTGTCCATTCTGTGGAGGGTTCTGCTTCCCAGGAGTTCTGGGGCAGTCCAAAGCACAGAGACACTTCTGTTCAGCCATTCCTTGGCTTTATTTTTAATCTAAGCCAAGTTAAGGTCACTAAGTAGACTGCACTCTCCACGACAAAGACTCAGAGGAAACATTCATAGACATCGTCACTAAAGAAACGTTTAATTTTCAGAACGCAAACTGGTAGTCTTCCAGTACAATTCCCAACGGCTGCTGTGGTCCAGTTGAGCAGAGTCATTATAGTCCTTAGATGACCTAACCCTAACCCTAAACCCTAAGCCTGGAGGTCCGAGGGGTACAGGAGATAAATTGTCAGAAACAGGCTTTTAGCTCACACATAATAACTCAGATGGATTTATATAAATAATATTAACACTGGGGAAATAAAATAAAACTCGATCCTGGAAGTTGAGACTAAAATGTGTTTTTGTTTAATCGTGTTCTGTTAAATTACAGACACATCAATCCAAACCGGCGAACACACGTCCAGTTTATTGACTGCGTGTTGTTTTCCAGCAGTTAACGGCGGGGGCTCATATTTATTTAGTGTTTTCTGGTGGTGTGACATTGACCCAGCCATTAAAATGACATTTTTTATTAGGATTGGATTTTGTTTTACGGGCCTTGTAAGCAGGGGAAAGTTATGGACTCAGTTTATCAGGCTTTTGATGTGTGTAGCATGTCATGTGCAGCCCTGCTGACTAAGCGTTTCTTCTGGTGTGTGTCTGCTTTTTTTGTGCTCACTTTGGAACTTTTCCTGCACTACTGTGTTGTCTCGTTTGAAGCAACTTGATAATCCCTCTTTTACTCAACCTCAACCACACCCTAATGTCATCCACCTGTTGCCCGTTTGTTTTAGTTCCTGGTTAGTTGATCTTAACCATGTCTCCAAGTAGTTCTTGACCCAGCTTGTGTTTAGGATTTTCCTCTGCCTCTGATTTTGGATACTTGGATTACTACTTTGTGTCTAAACCCTGGACTAGAGTAAGTGATCATTGACTTCATATCACTGCGATGATTATTAGATTTAATTCATTTTCCCTTGTGTGCAAGACAATGCATCCATTCATTTTAATGTTATGTCAAACCAATGTACAATTAATCTGCTGTTCCTTAGTAAAATAACGATGGAAATGCATGAATGTGGATCATTAGAGTAACTCATCCTTAAATCCGAACCTGCATCTTTTCAGCCCAATAAATTGCTGTTGTTTTTTTACACATTATGTCATCCACGCTGATGAAAACGGACTCAGATAAAAGTCACTGCAGCAAACTCTGACTTCAGCAGAGGAGTTTCCTTTTTTTTTTTAAACAGGAGAGGATTTTTTATAGTTCTTTTATAATGATTTATGATGACACTCTTCAAGTCAGTTTTTTTTTATATAAAGCATTATTTCCTCACACATCAACCCAGAGGCA